TTTTCACATTTCCCCCAAAGGCATTTCCCCATATATCTATTTCAGCCTGTCTGAGATATGGGAGGTCTGATACCATAGCAGTGAAAATTAAAAATGGTTAAAACTCTGCCAATCAAGTTCCAACACTGTGTACAGTGGGAAGCACAATACTGGTGTCAGTGTAACATTGTTGTTAGTGAGGCATGCATGTGTGTGTCTCTGCTCCCTGTCCAAAGTTTCAGCTTTGCATATTCAGGCAAATATCTCCCTGTTACTCAGACTAGCAATCAGAGTGTGGAAGGCGGGTGCTCCCGAGTTTATCAACCCCACACTCACAATGCATCCGAAGACTGGCCCACATAGCTAAGTACCATCTACACTGCCTAGCAGAAGCACCCCATAATTCAAACAGAAATCCTGTCTGGAGATACTAGGGATTGAACCTGGGACCTTTGCATGCGTAACATGTACTCAACCACTGGCATCAACATTTCCCATCAACATTCTGTTTTGCTGTACAGTGGTAACTCGGTTTACATACACTTCAGGTTACAGACGCTTGGGTTTACAGACTCCGCTAACCCAGAAATAGTACCTCGGGTTAAGAACTTTGCTTCAGGATGAGAACAGAAATCGTGCAGCGGCGGCACGGCAGCAGGAGGCTCCATTAGCTAAAGTGGTGGTTCAGGTTAAGAACAGTTTCAGGTAAAGAATGGACCTCCGGAACGAATTAAGTACTTAACCCGAGGTACCACTGTATTTTCAAAACATCAGGGGAATGTAGACATGTACCTGGTTCTCTTTAGTTTACATGCATGCACATATTTTCCCTACTTGGAAGTTGCAAGCAGCTCCCCTGCAAGTATCTTCCCACATTGCAAATCACTTCTTAAACTCCCATATCTGGCATATAGCTCTAAGATTAAATTTGTTATGTAGCAGTGGCTTTACCACTTATAAAAAAAGAAAATACATGCACACACTTTGTATTTGCTCAAGGGGTTTGTTTGTTTGTTTGTTTGTTTGTTTGTTTAGTCACTGTCATTGAACATGGCACTTTGCAGAGAAACATAAAAAGATAAGATCTCTGCTTCAAGGCACTTACAATCTAAATTTAAATAGAGAATGGAAGGTAGACAAAATGGAAGGGTGGAAAGAAAAGCAAGAGATGAGAGATTCAAGTGCAAAACGGGAAACCTTTGTTTGCACAATTAAACCACATTGTCTCCCTAGCACAGCAAATCCACTTTAAAAAAAGAAACTGTCCTTTTGCCATTAGAGAAGTAATGGGGAAATGCATTGACAAGTGTGGAATGGACAGCTGATTAATATGAAGTTGTATAAACACCCTGCAAGCAAATAAAAATGAGCACAAGATGAATGCTAATTGTTGTATAACCTACCCAGAAACAGATCGGAACAAATGCTCAGTGAAGACTAAATACAAACTGACACCCACATAAGCAAATCAGGACAAAGCTCAATAAATAGGCCACCTGGAGGAACTGTATGTGAAAAAAATATATTTTAGGAACCTATAGAGTCTGTAATACCATGGGCACAGATGCATTCTCTACAGTTGCCTATGGAGAAGGGGGGGTGTGCACGCATGCACACACACACACAAACACAAACACCTTAGAATGCTTGTGCCAATATCGAATGCTACTTGCCTAGATTCACTAGTGTGCATTTTAATTCCTTGTGGAAAACCGTGTTCCAAATCTAATTTCATATTTAGTGCAGTGTTCAGTGTTAAAAATTCACACTATTTCTTTCCACATTCCTTATCTTAAAGCCAGCATCCAGGCCACTGGTTGCTCTTGTTGCCATGGTGAATGTATACCATGTGAATAATACAGTAAATTGTCACTTGAAATCCCCGATACAATAAACCGATAGTTGAAATTAACTGACCCCAGCCATCCTTATCATATACGGTGACCTTCAAGAAGCAGAGGAGTTCCTCCCTTCATTCTAGCTTTAATGTTGTTGGCCACAAACACCATTAGGCGTTTAATGGGCCTTGTTTAGTGTGGCAGGGAATTGGGGAGTGGTTTAATGAATCTCAATGCTGCATAATTTACCCAGAAATAGCCACTTCTATACACTTGAGCATAAGTGTGTAAAATTCATGAGTACATAAAAGTTATGCACCAAAGGGAAAGGCTATCTTTTCCTTCTTTTCTAAATCAATCTTGTGGCATCAATTCTGCAAGTAAAGCTCAGAGCTTGTAATGGGTGTTGCATGAGAAGACTACAGGATGCTGCTATCAGACGACCAAAAGGTCCACTCTTGGAAATGTCACAAGCCTTCCTTGTTGTGTCCCGTTAAATAAAGTTCACAGCGACTGCATGAGAAGACGTCGCAATGGGTGAATGTATTCACACAGACTGTAAAATAGCCAGATGTGGACAAGACAAATGCAACTCAGTGGGTATCTTTGCCCCACCCCAGTCACTCTCACTTGGAGGTGGGCATAACCCCACCTCCCGTATGATCTCATGAATGATGGGATTCAAATATGGCACACAGAAAAAGAAAGGGGAGAAAGTCTAATACTTGCTTTAAAGGTGTGGCATCATCAGCCTCTTGCTCTGGGCATTGTGGCTCACCCAAAACAGTTCAGTGATAGTAAACAATAAATGTGACCTAACTTTATTACAAGTTGGGGGGGGGATGGGGAAATGGGTTGGGATTTGTTAGGCAAGGGGGAACATTTGCATCAAGCCTGATTTGCACAAAAGGGACAGGCTCAACATGAACTGAAACTGGTGCTCACTTAAACAAAACAAAAAAAGTTGTGGAGCAGCTTTAAACTGTCCCCTGCCCCCAGGGAAAAGCTGATAGGAGCTGAGGAACATCTAGTTCAGGATGAGGGTGAAACTGTTTCTGTTTGTCTAATTGAGGGTGGAGTAAAACTAAGCAATGAGTGAACAGTATGACATTGATAGCCAGTCAAATAGGTCTAAGGACCTGAGCAGAAAATGCACGCAACAGAGATATTTGCGGAGGGATGCTTCAGTGCTAGAAGCTAAACATGACAAAGTGGTAATTCCTTCAGATGCACAGTATGAAGGATGTCTGAGAATTCCAATGAAACCGGAGCAGAAATTTCCAGTGTTTGCTTATTCATCCCATGTCTGGAACGCAAATCAATCCAACAAATTCAATTGGTATTTGCTGTTGTTACTGCTTTCAGTCTGCAAACTATTACATCCCCTCCAGTTGTTTTGAATTTCCTTCGTTGCATTATTATTAAATTTCTATACTGCCCTTCAACCAGGGATCACAGGGCAGTTTATAATATAAAACCACAAAAATGCACAGGATCGCAACAAACAAAAACGATACCTCCCACACCACAATTTAAAACGCCAAAGATACGCCATAGTAACTAAAGGTCTGGAAGAAGAGGAATGTTTTTGCCTGGCATCTAAAGATATGTAACAAAGGTACCAAGCAAGCCTCCCCGAGGAGAGCATTCCAAAGTGGGGAGCCACTGCAGAAAAGGCCCATTGTCGTGTTTCTGCCCTATCCACCTTACATGGAGGAAACACACAAAGAAGAGCTTCAGATGACGATTGCAGGGTCTGAGTCGGTGCATTGAAATGAATGTGGTGGAGTAACCTAATGACAGCACAATTTCTATAATTTACATAACAAATTAGTTATGCCACATAATTTTGCCAAAATGGTCATTTAGACTAATGGAGTAGTTTTTGGTGGAAGGTGAACTGCAATAGTGCAGAAAAAAGTATTGCACACAATGAATACAGGACACAGCAGAAAACAATGCAGGAAACTACTTCAAACTTCCAATTTTTCTCTCATGTCTATCACAGGCTAAAACTGTGCTGCCTATAAAACTGCACACGTTTTTCATATAATTGATTCCAAATTATAATTATAGGCCTTCTTTCAAGGATTGTTCTCAATCACTGTTTCCCTTTCAGAGTCCACAGGTTAAGTGGCACAAACATAATGAACAATTGTTTATAAATTTCACTTTTACCTGCTTTGCTTGTTAAAATATAGCAGTATTATAAAGTGCTTTACTTGCCTGCTTTGTGTAGCAATATTCAAGGATATAAGTGGCATGAAGTATATACCACAAGCATGATACCAACACAAGCCAGAATTTAAAAATGAAAACTTGAGCCCAGTAATAAAAATTTTTAAGCCTATGTGCCCATCCTATGGATCAGCTTAAGCCTCAGAAGAGTGACTTGGTTGCCTTGAACAGTGACTCTGAGATTGAGAACAGCCAATTTAAGGCAGTAGGCATACATACTGCATTCTTTCCATGAATGTAGCTTACGTTTAATCTCTTGATTTATGACATCTGAAGTCACTTTTTTTTTATTAAACTCATGCCGCACATCTGAAATACTCAATGTAGAAGATTCCCTTAGGAACAGGAAAATTTAATAATATTATGAATTCCAGCCTATGGACTGAATGAAAGCCCATTCATTGGCATTCTTGTACACTTCCTGAAAACAATTAAGGCTTTTTCTCCCCATTCCTATCGTATCCAGCTGCTATTATAATTCCAACAACAGATGCTTTTCTTATAAACCACTGAATTTGTGCAAAATCTAAATGTCAGGCAGACTAAGCAAGTGCACAATCCATGAACCTGCTTTGGGAGGAAAAGAGCGCACATCTGTCTTCCTGTAATCTATTAGAGTCCTATTTAATTTACTTTTGCTCTTCAGTGTAATCACAAGCCATTTACCACCACCCCTCCCATGTTAAAGTGACTAGCATCATTCTGGTGGCTTCATTTTCTCACTCAAGGTGAAAAATATGTAACTGTTGCATGCTATATTCTAGTTATACTTTGTTCTTATGAATGCATTGTTTAATCAGTAAGCAATGCAACATAACGGCAGAAACGGGGGAGGGGCAGGCGGTAGCACTGATGGAAAAAAACATCGTCACCTGCAACAAACACACATGCAAATACATATGGGATGTTATTAATAGATTATAATTTTTTACAGATATGGATAATGCTGCGGGTTACCTAAGTTGGTAGAACATAAGATTCTTAATTTCTGGGTTGTGGGTTCGACCCCCACATTGGGCAAAAATTTCCTGCACCATAACCATGGACACAACACAGCTATATTACTGGCTACATGAGAATGCTTGTTTGACACCTACTTTCAATGTGGGGTGAAAGCCTGTGGGTACCAGGGAAAGCCTCTGTGGGCTCCACTGGTACCATGCTGACAATCCTTGCTGTAAAGGTATGCTGGTATGTCAGGCATGGCCCTAAACATGTTCCTTGACTATGGTTCCCAACATCCCTGATCTTTGTCCATGCTGCATGTGGCTGATTGGAGTCCACCAGATCTGGGGAGGGGGCAGGTTTCCCACTCCTGGGGTATGTAATAGCTTGTAGCCTAATTTTACCTGTCTGCCTCTTTTTGTTGGGGGCCTCTGAGCCAGTGTTCTATTGTTTTGATATGAATTCATTCATTTGTTGTTTGCCAATTCAATTTGTTGTCTGTCTTTAATCTGGGTCACACACAAACATGTCTGGAAAAAACACAGAGACCTTGACACCTTGGCTGTCTTCACTGCTTTTCTTGCTTGTTTACCAAAACAAAAAAAATCCCTGAAATCATTTTACTATTTTGCTTAGTTTTCTTCGGTAATTAAACATGTGAATAAATTAAAGCTAACTGAATAAAATTAATCAGATTAAGTATAGCTTCATTAAACAAATTGAGTATGGACATTACATGAATCTGAATATTATGTAAACAATTACATCACAGCAAATTTAAAATAGGAAAGACTGTGATAAGAGACTTATTTTGGTCTGGAAAAAATCAAATAGTTAGGATAGCAAAAATGGTTCCTGTGACCATGTTGGAAAACTGGAAGGTAAGTAACAGAAAGCACAATACTCTGTTGCACCTGAGATATATTGATGATAAAATTGTCCAGATGATAAATTCTGACTCATTCTAAATTCCATCACAAATATCCTGCAGCCATCTAACTTGCTTTGAAAAAAATCCTGAATCTTCTTCAACTTCCATAATGCCAAATGGTACACAATCACTTCTTTCAGACTGCTAAACATATCCCTTGAGATCCAACATGAACCCAAATACATCAACACCACAGGATCCTTTCTTTCAAAAATTCTTGTGATATGTAGCCATGTGAGAATGAGATTCCAGAGAGTGAGCAAATGAATGAATAAATTCCATCTGAGATGATACTGCCTTCTTGCTTGCCTCAGCAAACTTGTGAAGTCTTAAAGTGCCATGAACTCTTTTAGACAAAGTAGGGTTGAATTCCATGTAGTTAGGTTGTGCCATTGCACAAGAATAAATCCTCCCCAAAGCATATTTAGGGACTGCATGGGGAGAAGAGAAGCCAATCATGGTGCTAGAGCGACTGTTTGGTTTAATACTGCACTAACTTCCATTAAGTTCAACAGACCTCACTTCCCAGTCCACGGGTACAGGAAACACAGCCTTACAGTACAATCCTATGCATCTCTACTGAAAGTAAGTTTCACAAACTTCACTGAATATTGCAGCCTCAATCTGTTGTGTTCTGTCAGAGAAGTGTACTGCATCATGCATAAACCTGTTAACACAATAATATGATCCTCTTCTTCAGTCTTTTCCCCAGCTTTCCACTCCCAATGCTGTGTGTGTGTGTGTGTGTGTGTGTGCATGTGGAAGTGAGTGAATGACCAGGCACTAGTAGAAAATAACAAAAAAAGAATAAACATCACCTTAGTGGAACTGAATCTCTCAGGGTGTGGGTGTGGGTGATATGCTTCAAAGCTCCTACTTTAGGGTCCCCTACCATTTGAACCAAGTTGGTGGTCCCTTTAGCAAGCCTTTCAAACTCCTAGCTGGAGAATTGCAAACTACTACCTTCTGGTTAAGACAATTTTATTTCTGGGGGTATATGGGACCATTTGTGACACTGTATTGGAGATCATGTGCTTCTGCTGCTTCTTGTATTTGTTATTCATTGCTTCTGTCTTGTTCCTTTGCCATTCTATGCTTCAGTGATTGTTTTTGTTTCCATTTTAAGCTGCCTTGAGTTTCTTTAGCATGAGTTGGAAGGTTTAAATAATTTTAATAATTCCATTAATATAGGATCCATGTGTGCTTGGCAGTGGAAGTTGCTGTTATAAAAAACCATCAATCCAATAGCTAATTGTGATTGTGGATCTTGCCCTTCAAAATCAGTGGATATTGCTTAAATTTTTAAAAGTCTCTGTTTAATATGCATTAATATTTAAAATCTCCAAGCATTGTCCTTGGGAATAAAATATACCTTGGGGAATGTGCCATAAGTTTTACTCTTAGAAAAGAACTACAGTTATAAAGTTTCGAACAGTGTGGTAAAAACTTTGCAAAGGGAAATAAATCTGCACAGTTAAAAGTGTCTAGCACGTTAACGTAAAATTTAATATTTATCATATTGGATTAATCACTATTTCATTTCAGTTCATTGTTTAATGATGAATGATGAAGTCTTTGACTTTTTCTTTCTAACCAATATTCCCCAAATACTACAGAAATCTGCCTAGATTTACAGCGACATTGGTCTCCTGAGTAAGTCCAAATGCTGAAACTTATTTGAAATCGAAAAACTGCAACAACCGTGGGGATCTTCGTGTGACTGCCACAAAAGCCGACAGCCTTGTTTTGTACAATTCCATTTCATTCTATCCTTTTTCTTTTAAGTAGTTCAGGGCTGTCAAGTTGCTCTCTTTTTCTCTGAACTCTTGAGCAGAATTACTGCTTGTTTTTGTAATAAAATATGTGCCTGTCCTTTAGCTGATTACAGTATCAGTGAAAACATTACAAGATAATTCTATGTTTCCAAAGGTTTTCACATCAAACACAATGTAACCTGTTTGTAAAATGGTCTTGCCTTGTTAGAACTTCAGACGTGTAACAGAGACAGAGAGGGACTGTTTCAGTCTTGAATTTTATATGTTGAATCATGTACCATGACAAATGTCACCTATATATGTCAAATAGTCACATGCAACAGGGCAGAATTAAAATGTGGACCACCATTTCTGCGAGGAAAAGCTTTAAGTGACTCCCCACTACAGGAACAACCTTGTTGGTTTTGGGGAGAAAGGGTCACTGTTTTATAGAATGGAGTTGAAATTTCTCTTAAGACATGTTTCTTTTTAAAATAAAAAATAAAAATCTCCCATTCCAGAGGGTGGGGGTAGGAAATTCACTTGTTGTCTGGATATTCTCTCCTATTTTTTCCTGGTGGCTACGATGCAACAGCACTGCCATGCCACAGTAAAACTCAGTGTTAGACCTGGCAGCTGACCAAAAAAAAACTGACAAAAAAAGGCGTGTTAACAAAATTTCTAATGATGATACCCATTCCAGAGAAAGAGAATTTTATTTCCTCCAGGATAGAATTCTCTACTCAGAATAAGGGTGGAGAATATTGAGGGCCATTTGAGCAGAGCTCTGTTATAAAGTGTGTAGTTATAAAGAGGTGAGTTTGGTAAATATTCTCAACATTCTACTAGGCTTGAAAATTATATTTATCTGTTCTAGAGCCGGAGAGATGGAGTATTGCCTAAAGAGATTTTGCCCTTAAGAGGTTCTGCCATTCTATCACAATCCAAATTCATGACCTAGGACAAGTTATGTAGTCCCCCTCACAAATTTTTAATGTTCTCTTTCCATTTGTATTTTAATGTGCTTGGCTTGGATCCAAAGAACCATGAGCTGAAAGAGAAAATACATTAGTGTGGTTCTGTGAACTCTTGGGCAAGCGGTAGCTAGAAAATTATTGCACTGCAGCATCACAAAACATCAGGAGCTCTGTTACAGTAAGGAAGATACAGGCTGGAGCTATATAAAGTGATCCAAAACAAAAATCAAGAAAGAGCTTCAACAATTTGTGCAATTTGCATGAAGAGAGGGAAAGGGTTCTTAAGCATAACCTGATAGGTTTCAAGGGATATGCGAACTTGATGCTCTTTTTCTGGAGAAAGTGTCAACAGCTTTCAACAGATTCTCAGAAGAGTTTGTGACCCACAAAACATTAAGAACCACTGGTTTACAGTCACTTTTTTGATGCCTTAATCTTTTCCTAGTTTCACAACAGCCATTTTATGACCCGAAGAGTTTTTCTGCTAATAGAAGAAAACCATTGGAACCAAGTCTTCATGTTTAATTACATTTGTAAGCCAGAATGGCCATTTTGGGAAGGTAGGGTATAAATATTTAAAATTAATAAACGAGCAAGCAATCAAACATCTAACTATGAACTCTCCTGCCTTCTTTATGGGATACGGGGGCAGGATAGAGTTGCAAAGGTCTCTGGTTGCAAAAGCCAATGGCCAGGCCAGAAAATGTCTCCACACCACACACTGAATAGCCAAGAGCTAAATCTGTGTTGGAGCATCTAAAGGAGATTATTTAAATACCTTGAATTTGATTAATACAAGTGAAATACTTCATTCTACCTTTACATATGCTACAAAGAATAAGGAATAATTCCACTCCTAAAACCACACATCTGCTGCTAGTCAAAAGATCAGGAGTAAAACAATTAAAACCCAGTGGCTTTAATAGCTACGAAACAGAATTTCCTACTTATAAGTATATATATTCCCATCTTAAAAAAGAAAGAGCATTTTGGGCACAATCTGGCCAGCTGTAACCCCTTCTATATTCCATTAGATTCAATGGGAGAGGTTTAAGTGTGTGGTTAACTTTCCTTAATATTAGTTTTAAATTGTTTAATTTTAGCTGGATTGTGGCCTTGGTAGGTTAGAAGAACGTGGAACAGCCAAGTGAATCTTCCATAATCCATCTCCTTGTTTTTTCAGCAGGGGTGGACCCAGCTTTCTTTGACTGCCATTCCAGGGGTAAAAGGATATGAAAACCTAGTAAATTCAATGGAACCTATTTCCAGATAACAGTCTACAGGAGTGCAGCCTAAATTACATCTCTAGATTATTATTGTTGTTGTGATTGGGGTAGGCCAATTACATCTCTAGATTATTGTTGTTGTTGTTGTTGTTATGTACCATTAAATGTTTGCACATTTGCAACGGTT